CCCCAAGGCATGGAGTAAGCATCTCATCTGGATTGAATATGCCCATAACTCTTTGCCCGTTTCTGCCACAGGTTTTTCGCCCTTCCAGTGCGTGTATGGCTATCAGCCCCCACTCTTCCCCAACCTGGAGGGGGAGTGTGGTGGCGGGCGTGGTTTTGGCTCAGCTGCAGGGGGGGACTGAGAAGGGAGTGGTTCAGGGAACGGTGCCGGGGGAGGCAATTGGCCTCAGCTGATCAGTAATCAGTAATCAATATACTTCTGTTAAGTAGGAGGGATCCGGCGACAGCAGGGGGAAGCGAGGCGAGGAGGCTGGAGCCGGTGTTGTTGTTGTGTGTTTGTGTGGAAATACAAATAAAAACCATTTACAATGGACCCGACTGCCTCGTGCCCGTCATTCCAAGACCCCCCCAGAGGACCAACCTGTTACAGGGAGGTTTCGGTTCCCTCGGCCCATGCCCTTGTCCGCAGATGCCACCTCACCTGGAAAAGAGCGCGGTGCGCCCTACTTCGCGCGTCGGCGCAGTACCAGAGGCGGGCAAACCAGCATCGGAGTCCCGCTCCCCGTTACCGAACTGGACAAAGGGTCTGGCTGTCTACAAAGGACTTACCTCTTCGGGTGGAGTCCCGCAAGTTGGCCCAGAAGTACATTGGCCCTTATCCAATAATCAGGGAGATCAACCCGGCAGCCGTCCGTTTTCGCCTCCCCAGAGCCATGAGAATTCACCCCACGTTCCATGTTTCCCGTGTCAAGCCAGTCAAGGAGAGCCCACTGGTCCCATCCTCCAGACCCCCTCCCCCCCCCCCCCCCCGACTCGTCGACGGGGGCCCCGTGTATACCGTGAAGCGACTGTTGGCAGTCCGACGGCGGGGTAGGGGCTGCCAGTACTTAGTGGACTGGGAGGGGTACGGCCCAGAGGAGAGGTCATGGGAACCGGCGGGCAACATCATGGACCCATCCCTCATCAGGGATTTCAATCGACGCTTTCCCGAGCACGCTGGGGTGTCCGGAGACGCCCCTAGAGGGGGGGTACTGTGACGACTCGAAGAGGCAGTGAAGATTAACTTCCTGTTTTTATTTTTGTAACCACGGCACTTCCTGTATCTAGTTTCTCACCCTTCGTTTCTCCCCACAGCTGAGTTTAGTTTGAAATCACCACCACCTGTATTTAAGCCTCAGTTCCCCACTTGTCTGTGTCAGGTTGTCTTTCCTAGAGGTGCATGTTTGTAGTTAGAAGTTCCCAGTGCTGTTTTTGGTAATCTTGTTTTTACTTCGTTGCCAGGCTCTCTTCCTTTTTGTTTCTACAAGAGCGTGTGGATTCCGCCTTTGCCTGTGCACCCTTTGTCTTGCATTAGTTTATTTTCCTAGTAAAAGATTCCAAACCTGCAAAAAAGTTTCTGTGCCTTATTGCTCTGCACCTGAGTCGAAGTCCTGACCCCTCACAGCAACCAGCAGGGGGAAACTCCTGTTGTTGCAAAAATAAATCTGATTGTTGATAAGTATGAGAAAAGACTTCTTACTTGAATTACATTTATATGACTCAGATAGCGGCAGAGATCCGTCAATCCCAATAAGCCCGCCCTAACACCTACCCTGCTATATGGTCTATTTGACTAATTTGACACAAATTGACTATAAACATCAGGCTGTATTGAAAGAGACTTAAAACTACAGATTGCGACTATACACTCATGTTTAAAATGTTTACTTAGGTAGTAATACGTTATGAGAGAAGTAGTCATTTTCTCATAGACTTTTTTACAACCAGACTTTTTCAAGCGGATGAGTCGCCCCCTGATGGCCAGTAGAGAGAGAATGCAAGTTTAAGATGCAAGGGTTTATTTAAATAAATCAAGGGTTTTTGTGTATATTCAAGCTTCTATGGAATTTCTACTGGCCTAAGCCAAAACGTTTGACAGTTGCTTTCAGCCTGTGCAGAAATGCCACCCTAAAACTCGCTCATGTGGAGACGCCACACCCGTGTTGTTCAGATTTCTCTGAACAACACGAGCTGAAGTTCTGCTTCCCTTCCCATTGGACGCACTCTGTCTTTATCCCCCCCCCCCCCCCTCTATCATTTCAAGCACAGGGGGAGACAACCCATATTCAATTATACTCAGATTTATATAAATGCATAGATTACAAGGTTCCAGTTAAAGGGGCGTCGCCCTAAGTGGAGCTAACAGACAAAACTCGTCCTGCCACAAAATTATTTTTAGGATCTCGAAGAGTTTCCCAGGAGTGACGGTCATATCTTGTGGGATTTCATGGCTGTGCTATTCTAGGTCGGAGCACTGGTTCTGATCTTTTTTTCTTGTGAGCCGGCAATCCTTTGCTGCGAGAGAGAAATAATCTCAGCTAATGCTGACTTGATACACTTTCTAAATAATAAATGTATTTTAGCGTCAATGGAGGAGATACAGGATCCACAGGCACAGACGCATTAATAAAACATCAGGAAACTAGGCGAGGTCAGACAAGGTCAGACTATTGACCTTACCATCACCTGGCTGAGTGTTTCAGCAGCCTGTTCTTGTGTTTGCACTGCTCTGAAAATGCCTCCGCAAAGACGTCACAAAAGTACACTCTCCCCACAATCAACATGTGAGCCAGCTGTGTGTGTGTGTGTGTGGTGTGTGTGTGCGTTTGTATACAGCTGTGAGAATTTTACTCGGGCACACAAACACAGACACCATGTGCCATGTGGAATGCTAGCCTGCTGGCCTGCCGGCCGGCCTGTGGTATCAAGTTGCAGTCGGTGTTCCAGGCTTTGTGACCCTGGCATATCTGTGTTTGTTTCATGTCACAGCCCCTCCCTCTGGGGGAGATGACAGTCAAGCAGTGCCTGCAGGGGTGAAACCTGAGACCGGCAGACCTTAGTAGTAAACAACAATTCCTTTCATGAGGCAGAGGCGGCTGCCTGCTGCATTAAAAGATTGTTCTGGTAAGGCCAGCGGTTCCATGCAGTCCTGGGGAGAGGGAGGGGAGGGGGGGGGTAAATCTATTTAATTTGACCACTTGACAAGTAAAGTTAAAATGCTCTGGTTTTAACTTGAAGCCAGGCATAGACTTCTGTGTCTGTCAAAGTGAAGGCAACGTGGAAGTGTCTTGAAACTTGCATTCTCTTTAATGAACAACAGGGGGCGACTCCTCTGGTTGAATACAAAGAGTCATTGTCTCCAAAGCTGTTTTGTCCTTGCTTCTTGCCTCTTATCAGCGGGAATCTGTTACATATTTCTGCTGGCTATCATCACCTTACCGATGTCCTTTGCTTTTTAAAAACGTTTAAAATATATACACATACACACACACACACACACACACACACACACACACACACACACATATATATATATATATATATATATATATATATATATATATATATATATATATATATATATATGTGTTACACACATTTACACATTATTGAGTGTGGAGTTAGTCCATGTAACCTTTGCTAAACAGCCACTGTGACCACAATAAACTGAAATAAACACATGAGAAGATAATTATAGATAATAAAATATGGGCAGTAGACACAAGTAGCAAAGGATGTTTATTCAACGGTCATATTACACCAGGTAAGGCTGTAGAAAAGCCAAGCAAGTAATGCATCTATGAATTAAACCTTTAGATATGTAAGAATAATCTTTTTTTTATTTTAGAATTGCGAAAGTGTCAAAAAAATGAATTTTGATAATTGAAAATCAGACTTTTTCTACTTTTATTTTTCATCCCTGAAAACTTTTTTTTTATTGTTATGGGTTTGATGTGACTTGACAAATACCCAGACCAATACTCGCACACAGATATTGTGTCAATATATTTTTATTTTTGTCTTTAATGGATTTGTTGTCAGCTGCTCGACCCCCCCCCCCCCC